CCATATAGTATGTATGTGGGTGTATGTATGTGTTTCCGCACACCTTGCTCGCTTGCCGCAAATTCATTAATCTAGTCTATTGCTGCTGCATTATGAATGAATTGGCTAAAGTTTATTGCCGCAACACTAATGGCCACACCATCGTTTGGCCATTTTGCAACAAGTTGCTATTTTATTAAGTTCACAAGTGTGGCTGTTATCCGGCATCTTAAAACTTCAATAAATTAATTTGATAACTTTGTAGGCTTCGGACTACATAAATATGTACGAGTATATGTATTGCCTTCGTTTGGAGTTAGCGTGAGAGTTAAGGGGCATTTTAAAATATGGATATCATGCCGGTATTTTTCTATAGAAAGGGTCTTCAATTGCATGGCACTTGCGAAGGTCTGATAATTTTTTATAGGACGTTATATATAGATATAAAATAAAGTTGCCTAAAGTTAGACACCGGTAAACTCTATGTTGTCGCCGTCCGATTGTGTAAACGGCGAGGAGAAGGTTTGCAGCTAGGCTAGAACATGAAAGAGGTTGCCACATGTTACAAAATTAATTTCAATTCAAATTCTTTCTTATGTTAAATAAATTATTTCCAAATGGGTATCAATCAAAATGCGTTGTGAAACTGCTTTGTTTCTAAATTAGATGAGGGAAGGTTGCCACCTGTTGACAAATTAAGTTCAATTCAAATTATATAACAAGTACAATGAATTATTCAAAATGGATATCAATCGAAATGGAATTTAAAATAATTTATTCCTAAACATCTCGCAGGAAAGTTGCCACCTGGTTTAAAAAAATTAGATTAACCTTGAGTTAGGGAAATTAGGTATCTAGTTACAATATATAGCACAATATGGGTATCAGGCGAAATAGGTGTAAGAAGATTGTATCTAGGTTTAAAATATGTTGAAGATGGTTGCCATCTATTCAAAAGCCGAAATTAATTAAATTATACACAGTTTAACAATCTATAGTATAACAATCGAAATGCTTTTGAAAATTCTAATTTTCTAAACTTCTTTTAAGAGGGTTGCCGCCCGTTTAAAAATTCAAATTAAACTGGAATTAAGCGAATTATGGCAATTTACAGTAGGTATTGCGATACAAAAAATATATGCCATTTAATAAATGCCATGTGGAAACAGACATAATGACTATTTTTATGAGCGCAATGGAACGGGTATTTTTTAATGCCCAACACTGTCACTAAAAATTTTGTCATTTATAGCCCAATTCTGTATCGATGACAAATATTTTTTACTGACAAATTTAAACTTTTCCATATGTTTTCCCATAAAAAAATGTAACTATAAGTAATCACTGATACAGAATAGAGCCGTTAATGCCTAGTGGAAATTCAGCACCAGGTAATTGAAATATGATTGTCAATGAATGAGGTTTTACATGGTTTTAGTTTCAAAATATTTTGATGAGGATTAAAGAAAGGAAAATGTAAAAATCTCCTATGTTCTTGTCTGAGCTTAAGTATGTTCATTTTTATTGAAATATATTACAGTTGAGATAACACACAGAAATCGCATACACTCAGCAAAGCGGGTGTGGGCAAACTAGTCATTTACATATAATAAATTTGGATATTCACCTCCAAGAAAATGTGTGATATTTTATGTGGCTGACAGTTATCCCAATTCTCCTAAAACTACTTGATAGTCAACAAAATACTGAAAAAGTTTGGTCTCTCTTTAGCTACTACTAGCCCACTGCAGAGATGGTGTTGTATGGTACCCAATCTCGCCAATGCAACTTCTTCAGTGGTCTCTGCAGTGTTTATTTCATCTAGATGGGTGTAGCCTTTTACTCTGGTACAAACCCCTCACTTTATCTAAATCATTTCATATTTTGCTGGAGACTTTTCCGATCAGAGGAATGATCATAAGTTCATGCAGGTGAGGTAGAATTCTATGGAACTTCTTAATGAAACTTATAAATTACAAGAACCTTCTTCGTCATTTGGATGCAACATGATTACAATTTTGTTCCCGAGAACTTTGTGATGTTTCGGTATCTGGATCAAAGTACTTAATACTTGCCTGATGCAATAATTCCGTGGTGTACATCTCGCCATCTTTTACAATACGCAAATTTACTTTGACAATTCGAGAGCTAACCGGTTAGCAAAAGCTAAGTCTAAACAATATGGGTTACCTTTGCATTTGCATTTTACGAAGAATACAGCTTACTGAGTCTTTCACCACTTTTCAATTGTTACCTCAGTCCCGTATCGCTCTAGAAATGCCTTTTCCTCGTCTGTTTGAGTGGCGTAAGATAGGCGATTTTGCAAAAACATCCACTATTACAGGCGATCCAAATGTGATCTTCCTTCTAATTTCGCTTGATCGAATTGCTTGAAATGGGACCGTTATTGCAGTATATACATAGTATACATATGTATGGGAAGAATTGAAACAGCCGGAAACATCAGGATATTCGGCTATTGTAGACATGTCGAAGCATGATGGAGGAGCTTCGTTCATAGAGATTCAGTTTGGCTCACACATTGTCTAAATCCATTGTGCTTTTGAATGAGATAACCAGCGTTATAGAAATTAACTAATATAGGTCCCAAAATAATGAGGCTATATGCAGTAGCTGACTGGTTGGCGAGAAAAGGCACGTTCAAACATGGCTACATTTACATTTTACAGTATGTAAGAGATCAAACAATTCTATTTGTGAATGCTGAAAACCCCTTTCTTTCTGTGGTCTCCGTATAATACGAAACAAATAAATGTGACGTGATATGCTCTTAAATTTACACAGAAAAGAAATGTCCTTCCTTATCAGGACTCTTCCGGGCCACACTGCCTGATTATTGCACTTGACAAAGAACTAGTAGGCGAAGAAGATATATCACAGATGGAAATAAGCTTGTCATATTTACATCCGTTCATTATGCGATGTCTTTATTTTGCGTAGGGAATTAATTTCATACCTGTATGTATGTATATCAGGGGTTAGATAAAGACCCAATGATCCGAGCTCAACATTTACATCCACATATCGACACCTGAGTGGAAGATCGCCCTATCTCGGCAGCCAGTTCGAAAACGTTCTTCCCCTCAGGTGTCGATATACAGATAAACGAATGGTGAACTTGGCTTTTGTTAATTAATACAGTATTCTAATTAAGTATGTACTTTGTGCATAGGTACATTCATGGAAGTGGAAGAAATACTTTTACCTGAAATGCTGAGGTTCTTGCCTGTCTTCACCGAAAACTAGCTAGCTAGCTAGCAACTTTCTTCATCAATTTACCAGAAACTACAGTCACTGGCAAACGTATTTTGACAATGATTTTCTACGATATGTATTCAAATTTTATGTATGGTAAATTTTTTCGTAGTAAATTTTTGCGTTAAGTTTTTATAAATAAAGATCTCGTTGTACAAAAAAACAAAACAAGTAAATCAAAATTTTAAATTTTGAATAAATTTTCATCAAAGTTTCAATTTAAGTACAATAAAATGCGATTTTTAAGTAGCTGAAAAATTCTGTTGATTTTTGATTTTTTTTTTGCTGGCGGTTTTACGCATTTTTTCCAAATGTCTAACAAATTTTGATGAAATTTTCCTGAATTTTCTTCAATTTTGCCCAGAGTCTGAAATATTGAATTACGTGTTTTTTTTGTAGAATCAGCTCTATGTTGATTTTTGATTTTTTTTTTGCTGGCGGTTTTACGCATTTTTTCCAAATGTCTAACAAATTTTGATGAAATTTTCCTGAATTTTCTTCAATTTTGCCCACAGTCTGAAATATCGATTTACGTGTTTTTTTTGTAGAATCAGCTCTATGTTTTCCAAAAAAAAAAAAAACATTTGAAAATTTTACCATGCAAAACATTTTAAATATCGTAAAAAATAATCTATGCCGCAATACTTTTGCCAATGACTGTATGTATAAAAATCTTAAACAAGAATATAATTTTTCACCACTAGCTAGTAATTTTACAATACAAAGCACCGTTATGCAATTAAAATGCGACTACAACAAGAGAAGAACACAAATTAGAAGTAAAATATGACGCGTGCTGGGAAAATAAGAAAAGCCGCTTAGGTGCAGAGAAACAACAACATCGACATGGGCAATTATCTCTGCTGTGAAAAGCAAAATAGAAAGACGTGAATTGATATAGAGAGGAACATTAAATATTTTACAAGAATAAACACTCGTTTATATATACATATATATATAATGAATCACTTGGCTAATGGCACTTTTATCACGCTATATTGCGATAAGCATCTTGATAGGCGCGGAAAATGTTGCGTGAAAATTGTCAAGATGAGAATTTAGCGGAATCATTAAAAATAATCCCAGTAAAGATTTGTATAATAAATGTGAAAGTTTGTGCATGAGTGAGTGTGCGAGCATGTATGTATGTTAACTCTTCACTCTTTAACGGCTGGACGTATTTTAATGAAATTTAACACACCGCTAGGCTATAATCTGGATTAGCACATGGGATATTTTCCAAATTTTTTAATAGGTGAAATTAATCATATAATAAGTTAAATGAAATATTGAGATAAAAACTATTTATTTCAAAAAAAATTTTGAGGAAGGTTGCCACCTGTTCAAAAAATTAAAATTCTTTTTAAACAAGTTAAAACAAATATTTTGATACGAGTATCAAACGAGAGAGTTTTAAACCAGCTTTATTTCCAGAATATATTTTTGGAGAGGGGTGCCACCTTTTTAGAAATTCAAAATCAATTTAATTGACTAGTTAAATGAAACATTTTAATGTGGGTTTGACACCCATAGAGAGTCGGTTTATAACGGCTAAAATATTTTTGAAGAGCACTGCCACCAGGTTTAAAGTTTATTAAAAAAAAAAACATTACAATAGGCGGGTCAGACGAAAGAAAAACGGAAAGGCTTTCCATCTGTTCTAAAAGTCAAATTTAAATAAGTTAATCGAAATAAAAAAAAAAATACTTACTTACATTATCCTCCCTTCATTTGTTTTCTTCCAGGCTCACCGTGGCACGTTGAAATCATGTCTACACCCGGTCTAACAGCACTGGGCGAATCGACACGCCTTGTACCCGCCAATACGCCGGCGGTTTTTGAGATACTGCCGCCTCCTGGACAAAGCCTAAGCAAGGGCGAGTGCGTGGCTACAGTTTTGACGCCAACTAAGTCCAAACTGAATGCCAGAGTCACCCACGAGGCGGCAAATGGTGCTGCTCGCATCGAATTCGTGCCCACCGAAGTGGGTACACACATCATTGAGGCATCGATTAATGGCACAAAAATTGCCGGAGGCCCACTAATAGCCAAGGTCTACGATGCCAGTTTAATACAAGTGACCGATGTGAATGGCGGTGTTGTCGGGCAACCGTGTCAATTCCGTGTCGATGCAAGCGCTGCTGGCGAAGGTCAGCTAGAGATATCGATTAATGAAGGCGAAGTACCAAATCACGTCCAGGTAGTAGGCGGTGGACGTTGTTTGGTCTCCTTCACACCCGAACAGGCCAAGTCACATTTGATCGATATAAAATTTAATGGTGAAACTGTACGCGGTTGTCCATTCGTATGCGCAGTCGCAGATACTTCGCGCGTCATGTTGAATCTTTCAAATCTTGAATTGATAACCGTAAATCGGCCGGCGTCGTTTCATATCACCGTAAGTGGTGGTGGTGCTGCTGAGCTGGCCGTTAGCGTACGCGGTCCGCAAGGCGAGCTGCCCGTACGCGTCACTGGCGATATACATGCCGGCTTCACAGCCGAATTCACGCCCACTACAGTTGGTGGTCATTCGATAAATGTTGAGTATAATGGCTTCCCTGTGCAAGGTACGCCTTTCTTGGCGAAATCCTACGATGCAACTAAAGTGGCAGTGGGCAGCGTATCGCGTGGCACTGTCGGGCGATCAGTGCAATTTACAGTGGACGCTGGCGATGCGGGCGAGGGTAATTTGGAGATTACGATATCGGCAAAGGGTCAAAATATACCGACACAGGTGCATCCACAAGGCAGTGCAAGGTAATTATTTGGTTTTCTACCTCTTAACTTTTGGGGTTATATTAACCGGGCGGTCTCTTCCATTTTTACAGATTCTCCGTTTCGTTTGTGCCAACTGAGGCGTGTGAGCACACCATCAATGTCACTTTCAATAAAATGCCGGTGCCCGGCTGTCCGCTAACCGTGAACATTAGTGGCGGCATGTCTGGTCCGCAAGTGTCACTCGGTGGGCCCGGTCCGGTGCATCAGCCGAATTCTTTTGTTATCAATCACGCTGGCGGTCGCTTGGAAGACATCGAGGTCAATGTGGAAGGTATGTATGCGGTGAAGTTGTTGCACTCAGAAAGCTCCTCACCCCTTTTTTACATTCCCTATTTATTTGTGTGTTTGTGTATGTACTAATCCTGTTCACGTGAATCGTTCGCACATGTGTCCAATGTTTTCAATCACTCATTTAAATTGGAATATTTATTTGTATTATTTTTTTATTTTCTTAAGCCAAATTTTTTCACAACAAATCCAATATGAAAACTCACAGAGTCACGACTTTTATCAGCTAAGAAAATCTCAGATGGACTTGTCTGTCGAATCACGATATCACATACTCTCACGTGGCATGCAGTAAATAATTAATATTTGCACGTCTACTACGAAAAACAATCACTCAGGGTCTTTAATTTTAGTGATGAGTTTAACATTTTCTTTATGAATAACAACGTGCGATAGTAAATTTTACACACAAAAAAAATTAATCTATATATTTTTAGTTTTTCGTCAGGATTTTTTTAAATAGACTTTGAAATTGCAAAGCTATTTTTAGATAATTAAAAAAAATAATAATTTAAAAATTCAGAGAAATATGGAATTACTACATATATGTGGATCAAATTAAAGAGAAAATTTTGCAGAATTAAAAATATTATTTGTGCGTAAGAACGAATGGGCATTGAAAATTTGCATTTAAGAATTTCATGCTTGCATATCCTGGAAAATTTGCACTATTCATTTTTTTTTTTTTTTAATTTTAAGTTAGGGATTAATGCCATATTTCATTAGTAACCTCTTGCTAAATGACCATATCAAATTAGTACTATGTTAATAGGTATTTAAAAAATAAAAATAAATTTTTGTCTAAGGGAACTTTTCCTTCAGAGACGGTCACTAGGATCTGTGCCACCAGTCACAACTTTAAATATTTTGTAGTATGTCTATGGAGATTATTCCTGCCTAGCTTTCAGTGAAAACGAAATCGTATAGGATATATTTTGCGGCTGAGTTCACGGGGTCTTTCTGAGTTCCTCTTGGAAGGAGTTATGAATTTCTTTGATTGTCTCATTCCCTTTGACTTACGCCTGTGGGCAGAAATCTGAGAACTCCTAAGCAGTTCTGCAGTGTATCCTCTAGATGTACTACAGAAAGGCTCGTGACCGGGACCATGCATTCGCTTTTGGGCTTCACGCTTTGCGAGATAGTCAGCTCTTTCGTTGCCTTCAAACCCTTCATGCCCAGGGACCCACCACAGCCTAACTCTATTATGGGCTCCTAGGCTATTCAGAAGAGTTTTACAACTGTCTACAAGCCTTGATGTCATTCTAAATGAGTCTAAGGTCCTTAGTGCTGCCTGACTATCCGACAAACTATTTATTCTGGCCCCGTTTGTCCTTCTCCGAAGACATTCTCGAACACAAACTTCAATTGCGAAGACTTCCGCCTAGAATATGGTGGGATATGAGCCCATTGGCAACTTTTCTGGAACCTTGGTCCAATCACGCCTGCCTCAGTACTCCCGTCCTCCATCCTTGATCCATCGGAATACCATACTTGGGACCCTTTGTCAATCATAGATATTATTGCTTTGCAGCAGTCCCTTTCAGGAATTGTGACCTTGTAGGGCTTGTCAAAGGATAATTTCGATACCATGATATCAGTGAGCTTGATAGTGGGATCATCCAGAAAAGACTTGAGAACCTCCAAGTGACCCCAAAGATCTCCACTTTTCATGATGATTACATTGGGCAGCCGTACGGCGCTCCAGCAGGCCTCCTTTTCTATCAGAATAGCGCCTGCGCATGCGCAGAGCTCCTGTGATGGCCACACAGATCAAGCGGTGGCACCCGCACTTGCTTGCTTTGCTTTTGGCCGCCAGGCCAGTGCCGCATATGCGATAACAGGTTTCACGACCGTACTGAAAGACCAATATGTTAGTTTGGGTGATGTTTCCCAAGTTTTACCATGGAGTCTCTGGCAGGCATAAAACGCCCTTGTAGCCTTGTTGGTAACGTTACGGAGATGTGAGTTCCAATTGAGCCTTTTGTCCGGAGTTACCCCTAGATACTTCGCCTCTTCTGAGAACTCAATTTCTGTCCCTGCCCAGATGGGTTTAGTCAAGTTGACATTCCTCCTTTTGTTAATGGGACAACGGTGGACTTCTGCGGGTTTATTGACAATCCCTTTGAAACACACCAGTCTTCCGTTAATCTGAGCGCAGATTGCAATCTGGAACAAATTGTGTCCTCATGCCAGCCGACAACGTAGATGCCTAGTCATCTGCATATCCATATGCCGTGAATCCATTGCCATTTAGCTTTTCGAGGAGTTCGTCTATTATAGTTCTGGATTTAAATATGCTTATGATCCAGTCCGTTAGAAGGCCAGGAATATCCTTTCGCATCATAGCTGTCGATATTGCTTCATAAGACGTATTGTCGAAAGCACCTGATATGTCGAGGAATGCATACAAAGCTATCTGTTTATACCGCAATGCCTTTTCGATAACTTGAGTTCGGCTATGTATTGCAGTAATAGTAGATTTGCCTGCCCGATATGCGTGTTGACTCTGACATAGAGGCTTACTCCTCAGAAAGTTATTCCTTTCTTTCTCTCTCTCTCTCTCTGCTGCAGCAGGCATGCGTAAATGCCATCTGGACCAGGGGATTACTAGACAAATATCATTAAAAAAAATTTAAACTCGTTATCTACTGCAAACCTCTGGTATTTTTCTACGGAATAAAAGTATGTATACATATTATGCATTAGGCAGGCATGACAGGAGCAAAAAACTATAAAAAAAACATATTCTTCAGTTTCCTTTCTACTATCTAATTTTTTCCTTAAAAATAAACGCTCAAACTTTAACTCGCATGTTGTGAAATTAAGTTCAGTTATTTAAATTTCTCATCATAATTCATAAATGGCTTTGCTATAAACTTCACCGACACATAGCAAGGGTTCGAGGATCTATCAATATAAGCCTGCATGGAACATCTGCTACTTTTAACAAGCCAACATTTCTTTGTGAAAAATTCAAAATTTCTACATAACAGGGCATAGATATTTTGCAGTTAGTGGTTTATTACAACCAGAACAAAAACAATTTTTGCGTTGATTCGATGCGAAGAAAATAAATGCAATACAAAATTTTATGTTATGCCATTTAAATTTACCTTAATTTATTGGAGTCGTTTCATATATCGAATTGAAAGTAAACAATTACACAAATACATTCGGTTTCCATTCGACATCTCTAGCAGAAAAAACGCTGCTAGTTTATACTGAATGAGTTGGTTACAGTTAGCAGCTAAAAAGTCGGTGGCGTCGAGTGAACTACCCGAGCAGTCTTCAGCCACCGTTAGCTGTTTGTGGCGCCTTTGAATGATAAGTAAAGCACCAGCAGTATTTCTCTAACTAGGGGATATTACATTCCTATCTTTATCCAAACATTAATCAGTTTAAACAAATTCAACAAATTGCTTAGGTCAATCGAAAGAGACGTGCTTAAGTACCCAATACACGTACTATACATTATTATTCAATGTCGGCCCCTTTTTGTTTGTATATACTAATGTTTGTATGTTTGTATATGTTCAAATACACCAATTGAGATTTCTATGCTCAGTGTTCACACTTATTTATGCAAAATTATATATATATTTTATGTTTATTTATTTTAATAATTCTGATTTTTTTTTGTTATTATTTAAATATTGCCAATTTTTCGATTCTCACTTTTGATCTGTATTATATTTCAGGGCGGCGAAAACTATTGTACTAGACACTCTCTTTCTCCTTACTACATAAATACATATATTTACTACATATCACACTTACATATATGAAGTTATACTATACATATGTACCTACTAAGTGCACCATTTATACATACATATATACAACATGCAAATGTGTATGAATGTATCGAAATGTATATGAAACAATTTCGCACAAACAGGCTCCACTTAGTTGCACTCTACAACACTTGAACTCCCTATTTATTAATTTTCTCTAATTGCACTATAAATTAGACAAATTTAAATCTTTTAATACTTAGTATTGCATATTGGAATAAAATAATTTTTTTTGTATTTAGTCTTTTACTAACACGTCTATGCCTTTTTTTATACTGTCCCGAACGAAATTCTTACTTTTTATTTCCTTGTTCTTTTTTTATCTATTTTTATTACACAACTAAATTACAATAGCCTAAATACAGTTTACTATATTCGAACAGTTTACTATATACACGCACTATCTAATACAAATTTCTGTACTTTCATTTTTTACTAGTATAACGTATTGAATAAACGACTTTATTAATGTTATCCATTAAGGGAAAAATTATTTGCAAATAAAAACATACTCACAAATAAAAAAATAAAAAACTATTTGAGTTACACATTTTAAATCAATCATTCTCTCAGAAGTTGTAAGAGAAAAGGCTCTATCAAAGTATTGCGGGAGATATTTGAGTAGGCGGTGATGTCTTTACTTTTTCAATTGCTTTATACCTTTTTTCGGAAAAATATATACAGCATAAATTAACACGAACATCCAGAGATTTCCAAAAATAAGTCAAACTAAACACAATGAGGTAGTTTGAAATACCCAGACTCGCAGAATGACAAAGAAAATCATTAGCAGCACCCAGCTTCAGATAAACACACACACATACAGTCAACGTCAAAAATATGAATACCCTGACGTTTTGACGATTTTACTTGTTTATGTTTTCCGTGCCGAATTTTTCTTAGTTTTTTATAAAAAAAATATAGTTAGTTCTTTCAACAGCAAAAACCAGCAGAATAATTTTTTTTTTAATTTCACATAGAACTCGGGAAAATCTAAGAACTACCAAAAATTGTTCATACCTTCGATTCGATTTCTTAGAAAAATGTTTAGTACGCAGTTTTGTAGCCCATTAAATTTTAAAATTAATAAGCTGAAGGTTTCAAGTCTCTAAAGATTATCGTTGATTTTTGAGAATTTTTTTTTTGTCGAGGGTGTTGCGCATTTTCTTCCATATAAACATAGATTTTCTATGTACATTAGGGTGGTCCAAAATGCAGGTGAAAAAGTGAAGTCCGATTTCGAATGCTCGCACACCCTAGGATGTTCTATACCGAAAAAAGGTGCCCCTTCTTTGTTTCAAAATTAAAAAAATATTTAGAGGTCGCTCAAAGTATTCCATGTACATAAAACAAACAACAAAAACAATTTTTCATAGAAATGTAGTAGAATTATTGAAATATTTTACAATCGGAAAACTTTCTTCAGTAAGCTTTCAATAATAATACGCAATTATTTATTTTCGAATTTTTTAATACCAACTTTTTTTGTGGGTCTCCCATAAAAATAGTTAGTCTTAACAAATGGTTAAATAAACAAATGGGTATTATTATAGGAACTTTCCTGAAGGGAAGCAGAGTTTACCGATCAAAAAAATTTTATTTTTAAGAATTTTAGACCATTTCTACACATTTTTTTCTCTGAATATTTGTTAATTTTCAAAATGAAAAACAGAGTATAGAACAATCCTCGGGGTGAGAGCATTAAAATTTAGACTTTACTTTACCTTAACCACATACAGTATTGGTCATACCTATAGCACGCCATTTCAAAGTGATTTTTTTTGTCACATGTGCTTATTTATGTATGAACTGACCTCGAGCAAATTTCTAAAATTTAGAGATATTTTGCAAATTAAAAAACCGCGACTTTCCCAACCGTTGGCAGACCTCTAAAACACCGCCGATTTTAGATAAGGCATTCGTTTTGAAAATATATTTAAGCCAGGTTTTAGAAGTCACATTTTCCAAGCAAAAGTAACAAACACTGTGGATAATAAAAATTATAGTTTAAAAAAAACTAAAACCTCCCTATTATAATTGCCATTCGTACTGTCATCAGGTATGTAACTTGAGAATAGAAATCGCTGCATCTTTTGGCGCATCAATGTTACATAGTTACATCCCGAGTTAATAAAAGGAATGTAATAAAAAAAAACTGTGGTTTTAGTTCAATGCTTTTATTTCTGTGGACCCTTAAATCGAGTGCGTAGCGCATAATTGAGTATAGTCGATCAAAACTGTAGCTCCATACTCTGAAGATATTTATAAACTTCTATTTATCCAGAGTGAATCCTGTCACTACCAGAATATGCCTGTCTGGCGAAGAAAGCACGCATTTAATTGTTAAAAATCGAAAACCGGAAAATTTTAAAATGTATCCTTATGAATCCGGCAAACGGTAAGGCTACTTGTGTATATAAATAATGGAATAGAAAGTCTAGGGTAAAACTGTAGAAGAAAATAATACTGAATGGTAGAGAAAATTTGGAAAACTAGGTGGGGTCTTTTTCGAATTTTAGTTAAATTTCTTGCTATTTGTAAAAACGAATTACAACCTAAATAGCCCAATTAGAGCATAATGAAATATTTTGCTAAATTGAAAAATATTTCTTAATATGCGTTTCATAATTTTTATATTTGTAAATAATTCAACTATTTAGTTGTAAAATAATTATTAACATTCTTATTTAAATCCGTAAAAAAAACAAATGACTTTTTCTTAACTCTAGCTTGCCGATAACTTACTAACTAAATCTATAAGTTCTCCTAAATACGCTTGTACAAATCCTAACTTTCTTTAAATTAAAATAATTTGGCAGAAAATAGCTTTAAGTTAACACCGAAGTCCATTTTCATATTTACAAATATTTTTTTTTTTATAAAACTAATCAAGCTTTTTCCAAAATTTTTTCTCATTTATTCATTTTTAAACAAAACACTCACATGCTAAATCCCATAATAAAATAATAATCAACAAAAATGCTCCCAACTAACTCTGCAAATCCACAACTAAAACAAACGTATGCTTTTGCTAAACAAAATATAATTTACCCGTATTTTGCAAATTTCAACAAAAACCAAATTTTTACGACGTTAACTTTATACGCGCGCAACGCAACGCTTTGAAAAACAATCATACAAAAACAAAAAAAAAAATAAAAAAATGCAAACAATTAAAATATAAAAATAAAATAAAAACCAAAACCAAAACCAAAAAAACTTTTAATAAAAAATAAAAACTCAACAAAAAACCCCATTCAACAACTATAAAACCAATGTATCCTGACTTGCACATCAGGACCTGCCGGCCAGTCAGTGCCTGCACAGGTCCACCAAACCTCGGAGGGCATTTTCAAGGCTGAGTTCGTGCCACGCGTAGTCGGCGAACATCGTGTGAATGTCACCGTCAACGGTTTGTCCACCGCGGGTAGCCCCTATGCAGCTAAGGTAGGACCGCACAATTGTATCGCCTAATATACGAAAATGCTAAGACCAAAGACCAAAATAATTCAGTTCGAATAATTGAAATTCTACTATGAATTTAATTCAGACCATATCTACTTTTATGGTACCAAAAACACAACTGGATTGTTTTGGCCTACGGTCATTGAATTAAAGTCACTCTCATCTTAACTGCTATTTCCAATTTTCCCCCACCCACCATCCCTCTAGGTCTACGACGTGAATGCCATCAAAGTGAAGAATGTCAGCAATGGCACAGTCGGCAAGCCAGTCACCTTCCTTGTAGAGACGTCCCAAGCTGGCCCTGGCAATCTTGAGGTCACCGTGAATGGCGGACGTGTACCGACTTCGGCGCAAGCGCAAGGACAACACACCTACGCCATTAGTTTTACGCCGCGTGATGCACAAAATCACACAGTCGAATTGCGTTTCAACGGACAAGATGTACCCGGCTCGCCGTTTACTTGTCGCGTCTCGGCCGCTGCGCGTATACAATCGCCAGAAACCTTGGATAAGGTTAGCGTTGGACGGCTGTTTGAGTTTGCCGTGGAATCAGACGCGGAACCCATTGTCGAGGTACTTGGGCCGGCCAGGCGCAGCGTGCCTGTCAATATCGATCCATTGGATAGCATTGGTTATAATATCAAATTCGAGCCTGTCGAAGTGGGCGATCACTCGGTGGAAGTGCGCCTGCCTGGTGGCAGCCACGTAGAGGGTAGTCCCTTCTTGCTCAAAGCCTATTCGGCCGAGAAGGTTATTGTTACCGACATACGTCCCGGTGTGGTAGGCAAGAGCGTCAGTTTTGGCATTAATGCCAGTCAAGCTGGTGCGGGCAACTTGGAAATTATAGTGGCCGTTAATGGCAAAAACGTGCCGAACTATGTACAATCCGAAGGTAATGCGCGCTTCAAAGTTAATTTCAAACCCACGGAGGCAGCACCACACTCGCTTTCGGTGCGCTTCAACGGTCATCCCGTGCCCGGTTCACCATTCACTTGTCAGATTGCTTCTGCCCCGATGAGTTTACCACGCGCTTTAGCCAGCGGCGAAGGTCTGAAACAGGCAGCTATAAAAGTAGATAATACATTCGAGCTAGAGGGCTTCGAAGGCATTGAGCCGCAAGTGTTTGTTACCACGCCATCCGGCGACAATATTATTTGCCAGTTAACCCCACAAGGAGGCGACGCCTATACAGCTGCATTCCAACCCACAGTAGTGGGCCGACACTTGATAAGCGTAACAGCCAATGATAAGCACATTAATGGTTCGCCGTTTTCGTGCAATGTCTTCGATGTTTCACGCGTAAGCATCAGCGGCTTGGATCAGCAATATGGGCCAGCTGCATTGGGTGTGCCTGTAACTTTCAGCGTAGATGCCGCTGGTGCGGGCGAAGGCACCCTTGAGTTAGTTGTCTCCACAGACACGAGCACTGTAAAGGCGGAGGTTGTTGCATGCGCGCGTGGCCTCTATGACGTCACCTTCGTGCCGCAGACCACAGAACCACACTATGTGAATATCACATTCAATGAAGTGCCCGTCGACGGCAGTCCCTTCCGCGTAGATATACAACAAACTACCCAACACATACAGATTGGCAGCTTAGCGACCATCGACTTTCCAACAGATGATCAAATCGCCGAAATTGTGGGACCCGATCACAAGCCAGTACCATATACCATCACAAGGCAGACAGCCGAGTTCCGTACACACATGACCGGCAATTACTTGATACGTTTTATTGATCGCGACACACGTCAACACATAGGCACGCGCACACTGACCGTTTTCGATCCAGCGCTGGTGAAGATCACGGAAGTGGGTGAATCGGTTTGCCAGCGACCAGCCAGCATTTCAGTGTCGCTCAATGAAGCTGGACAAGGCGAACTATCGGCAATGGTCAAGTGTGGTGCTTCTGAAGTGCCACATTCCATACGCGGTCCGTCCAAGAACGGCATTTATGAGATTGTCTATCACCCAACGCGTGTAGCTCCACACAAGATAACTATACTGTTTAATGAAGTGCCGATCTCGTTGAAACCGCTTGAGATCAATGTGCTGCCAGCGAACGTTGGCAAGGAGATTAGTGTATCTGGATTGGGTTTGTATCAGTCGCGTGTTGGCAAGACTACGTCATTTGCCATTGATACGCTGAAGCGAGCAGCCCGCGAATTCGACGTAGTCGTTTCTGGGCCAGGTGGACAAGCACTACCTGTGCGCTGTTATCAAACCAAGAGCGGTCATCTGCAAGCTGAATTCACAATCAACAAGCCAGGACAAAGCATAATTGGTAAGTTGGTTTTCGAGTTATATTTCAAACTCACTTGTAAATGTTATATTTCGCAGAGGTTCTCCACCAATCGAAGCCACTACCAGGCAGTCCATTCACCTGCGAGGCCTTTGACACCAGTCGTGTTGTGGTTCAAGGTGTGCCCAAGGGCCAGTTAGCGTTGCATAGCCCCATCTGTTTCTCAGGTTGGTGGACCGCCCTTAACTTTAATTCGGTTTATTTCCAACCCTGCTTCCTCTCTCTCCATCAGTGCGCACCGAGAATGCCGGTATTGCTGAACTAGAGGCATTTGCCGTCTCTCCAACCAATCAAAATCTGCCCGTTCACATTACTGAACAGTCCGAGGGCATCTACAGCGTTGAATTCGTGCCATCACAACCAGGTGCTTACAAACTGACTATCATGTTTGGCGGCGAGACAGTACAGGGTTCGCCATTCACCTTCACCGCCTCGGCGACAGGCGTGAAAACAGATACACGCGCTGCCGGCAATGGACTCGAAGTTTGCCAGCGCAACAAAGAAGCCTCTTTCATTGTCTACTGTCCGATTGCGCCAAATGTGCAAATCGAACGGGTGGACGAGTTTGGCGAACGAATTGAACCGAAAATTAAGGTGAGAATTTGGTGCTTTGGTGCCCTGAATTATGGTTTAAAGTTTTTTTCCTCCCTTACAGGCTCTGGGCAACAACGAATGGCGCATTTCATACACTATTCTGTCCGTGGGTCATTACGAAATACGCGCTAGCTGCCCAAATCGTGGCAATTTACCGGGCTCTCCATGGAGTGTTTCCTGTGTGGAAACATCAAAGATCACACCTGTCGGCGGCTGGGGTACACTACTCGATCACGACGGCCGTCTCATCTTGCCGGCTCGTATAGTTTTCGATGTCGAGAATGCTGGCCCCGGCGAGTTGGCCTGCTCAATTGATGGCATTGAAATTCCTGTCGACAAATTAAATGATGGCAAAATGCGTATCTATATTACCGCTGACAATCTGGCACCAGGCGAGCACGATTTGGATCTCACTTGGAGTGGCCTAACCATTGTGCAATGTCCGCGCAGTGCTTTTGTGACCGGTCAACAAGCGGCCGATAAGGTGGTGCTTACGGGACGCGGTCTGGCTGCCGCACAAGCCGGCGAGGCGGCACATTTCACTATCGATGCCACAAATGCGCCCGCTGGGCGCCCGGAAGTCATATTGGTGCATCAAGACAACACTTCCGTGCCGGTGAGTTTGGCACAACCGCGACCAACAGAAAATATCTGGCTGGCCTCGTATACGCCGCAAAAGTCCTCCTCGGGACCGCTAACATTATCCGTGAAATGGAATGGTCGTCTAGTTAAAGGCTGCCCGCTCACAGTTGCTGTCGGTTCGTCGATGGATGCCTCGAAAGTAATTTGCTCAGGAGAGGGTCTACGTCATGGCATTGTTGGTAAAGACATTAAGTCTTGGATTGATACACGACGTGCCGGTCCCGGCGAATTGACCGCTCATTGCGCAGGTCCACGTAAAGTGGCCTATTGCGAATTGTATGATCATGGTGATGCTACGTTTACACTGAACATCAAGCCGCAGGAGCCCGGTAGACATTTGCTGACGATCAAATATGGCGGTCAAAATGTGCCAGGCTCGCCGTTTGCTCTAAAGGTCGCCGGAGCACCTGACGCTAGCAAGGTGAGCACACAGTGTTTATCTGTTTGTAAATGACATATTAATTTTTGCGTAGTCGCTTAGCAAAATTTCGATCTAGGGAGAATAGAGGAGAACTAGAAATTCTATCAATTTTTCTCAGGATTACTTTAGAGTATTCCTAGCAGCCGGTATTAAAAAACCATCTGGGAGATTTGCGTCTTATTTAATAGAGAAGTAGCACTCTTAAGGCTTCCAGTTAAATTACTTAGTCTGAGTAACTTATTGGCCATTAATATGATTTTGGGAGCCGGAAATATTGGCTTTCCTAAACTGGACCGAGCGCGAATCGAAGCAGGATGAATTAGCTGCTTGGTCTACCTAAGTTACGTCTTCCGATAAAGTAAAACCCTAGTCCTGGACTGCCCGATAAGTTCAAAGGGAATGTGGGAGGAGTTGTCTTATGTTAGTGCTACTTACTTGATAAGCGGTCAGCCGATCGCGTTTTTCACCAGCGACGTTTCTTATTGTTTGCCTTGAATGCTGCCAGTAAGCACCTGGACAACCTTTCAATGGCTCGTTACTTTGTTCATGTCGTGAATAGCGTCGTGGTGTGTTAAATAGGTCAAAGGACCAATCGAACAAGAGTAAAGCAGCCCGAAAGAGCGGTAAGGTAGCCATTTGCGTTCTAACACTGAGCATTTCTGTCATTTCCCGATACTATAATCGTCTGCGTTTGTAGCCAGTGAGACTCCCGTAGGTGGTTGTTCTGAAATATAGAAATGCAAGGAAAGCGGTGAGAGCCTTCAGAACTCCTTATCCATTTCTTCTTGCGTTTGGGTTCGAAAACTCACTTATGTATGTGGGAAGGAGAGATATCGGCCGGTATGACCGCTTTTTCAGAGAGGGACTTTTTTTGTGGACTTTCGCCTTTCCAGTTGTAATACGTCCCTTTTTTTGCTCTCAGGAATTATTTGCACAAAAGTCTTGAGACTGTATCCTGATTCTGCAACAATTTACCCTTTATCCAGATGGCTCTAAGTTAGACCTCCAGGTAGGAAGTGGGATATATTGACTTGAGCTCTTATCCAACCCCAGTTTTCGGTTTGCCGAAATTCTGGGCGGGTTTTCAAGCTTACAGCAATCAAGGAAGTTACGAGGTGACATACAGATTCCTCTTTTGATCTACATCCATGTGGTAGCCATCTTCTCTGTCAGTCAGAAAGCTATTAAAGCACAGGAATGTGTGCAAATCTCCGTTAAGGATGGTCATGGAGCGTAGATATACTCTAAATGATGAAAGCCAGACTTCGAGTACATGTTCCAGGCCACAAAGGAAAATCTAGAAGATATATGGAAGGAAACGTCCTTCAACGATCAGCTCAACGATCTCAGCAGATTATGGTTTGAAGACAACTTTATCGAACGGATTAAGATAATATTATCTGTTCAGCTAACTCGTACGATAACATAACATATCTATCTGGCCTAAACTAGATAGATGAATATCTAGTCCACTTTTTATTCGGGGTTATTAGAGGTCACTAATTGATGTGAATGCATGTCAACAGAAATAGTACACAGTCGAGTAGGTTCTGTCGGAGTTACCATAATGTAGAATAAATCGAAAGTGTAGAAAATTATCTAAGTATGCCAATGCAGATACGACTTTGTAACCTTCATCAGAACGAAGAATTGGTTCACTTCTAGGGAAACTAAGAATACAAAGAGGTTCTATGAGAGTTTCAAAGTAGGCGGGCTAATTTTTTCTCCTTTCGATGCTAGATCGGGGCAATCACGATAACTTAACCTACACTTGGGTACTTAGCCACAAGGCCGCATTAGGAAAAGGGTTGCGTGACAAACTTGCTAGGCTGAGAACAAGAGGAGCTCTGTGGCACAAATAAAGAAGGGCGCATATAACTTCGGATCTGATGAACCACTGAAACCAACAAAAAAAAAAAAAATCAACTTTCCCAGTAACATGTTTTTACAACTCTCCTCCGTCCACAGGTTCGCGTCTACGGCCCCGGCATTGAGCATGGCGTGCTGGCCACCTTCCAATCTCGTTTCATCTGCGATACGCGCGGCGCTGGCGCTGGTCAGCTAACAGTGCGTGTACGTGGTCCCAAGGGTGCCTTCCGCGTGGAAATGCAGCGTGAGAGTCAAAAGGATCGCACCATTTTGTGCAAGGTAAACAGAATCTCAACCCAACTTTATAAATAAATTTGTTACCTCTCCTCTTTCCAGTATGATCCCACAGAACCAGGCGACTACCGCGTCGAGGTTAAATGGGCTGGTGAATTTGTGCCAGGCTCACCATTCCCAGTTATGATATTCGACACTGAAGAAGAGTTACGCCGTTACTTGCAAGGTATATGAGGCCAGAGTAGTATTAGCACAATTATACTGCCCAGCCCTGCCCTCAGTCAATTAACCCAACATTCCCAACATCAGCAACAAAACCAACACCAACATCCACAAGCATCATTACAACAAATGCAACATAATACATTACCGGCATCACCGCAACAATATCATCGCTCCCAACAACAATTGCGTCTATCGCCAATGCTGGGCAGTCAGTTACTGAATCAGCATTACATAAGCAATCCCGATTTTATGTATGAAATGGGTTCGCGCAGTTGTTTGCGACGTCGCTGTCGACAGGATAGCAATTGTGTGTTGCTCTGACAATAAGTGCTCACATACATACATACTACTTAGTATCTACATATGCAATTATTTGGTTCCAATTTTTTTTTGTTTTTTGTTTTTTTTGAAGCATTGAACTGTTTATTCTAAAGTTGTTTAAACAGAAAAATTTTCAAGAGCAAATGAGCACAATGAGCATAATATGTACAATAACGGTTCACCAAGGTAACTCTGCGGCTACATACGATACTAACTACAAACTGGTCACACAAAGCGAAAACAAAAACGACAACGAAAACGAGAGAGGGCAGCTCACAGTAATCCGAAATAAAAGTGAGGCATTATTTTATTAATTTAATTTTTAAGAAAAATATACAAAAATATATACAAACATATGTACTTATAATAAAAAAAAATGTGCTTGCTTAGCAAAAGCGCAAAGAAAAACGACAATCCCCGCTTACAACGAAATCTTCCCCATTTGTTAGAAATGCAAAAACTAAATTTTTAAGATATAAAGCAGCCTAAATAAACCCAAATTTATTTACCTAGTTTATAATTATTTCCATTATGGAGTGAAAAAATACCCAAAAAAAAAATTCAATTTATATTTGTACTCAACTGCATAAAAATTTTGAACTTCAATTTTGGAATTTATATTTTTATGTGGCAAAGAGTTTAGGCTCGACAAATTTCTATCATGCGAAATTGTATCTTACTCCGTGTGTTCTGTGCTTTATTGCTAACACAAATACCAAGTAACGATTTATGTATTTTATGCAATAAATACTACTTTTTAATTATTTTACTTAATTAAAATGTTAACACAAATTTTTAAATATTTAGTAATAAAATATATTTTATCTATATGCAAGTTTTTTTTAATTAGTAAAACTTTTGAAAATATGGAATTTTCAATAAGCAGGTGGTGAGGCATCATAGTCAAACAACTTATAACGAATTTCAAGGACTCGACAACTTTAAAGCTACTATAAAGCTTACCACCCTACTTAATTAACCAGGTTTCTAATCCTTGGCAAATAAAATCCTTACGTAACTCTTTTTATAGAAAATTCCTTTTCTACTTTTGCAACCATTTTCTACAGTTATGCTACAAAAGTAGCAAAACAAAATCTCCCGGCACACAATTTCTACAAAGTCTTCAAAAAAATAATTTGCTCAATATGCCATAATTTGGAGTGTCCTTTTTTATTGCAGATAAAATTAGTCAATCCGCTTAGAGCGCCATCTGGCAGATAATAGTGCGCCACAGAAGCAAAGTTGCTAGCAGAGAATTTTAACGAAGCACCAAGTTGAGTAATATTACAAAAACTTACTTTGGCACTATTTGCAGTCAAACAACTGTCAAAATTAGGCTAACATAGGAAATAAGCTAATTCCGTTTTATTTGACCAAGATTTAGCTATTTGCTTGTGATGGTTGAATAAAACATGAATAATTATTAGTTGCCAAGTAAAGCAAGAACACCGAAGGATTCACCACTAACATTTTAGTCACCATATTTTATAGGGAAAAAGAAAACTGAAGGCATTTCTGCCATAGCAAAATTTTTGGCCAGAGCTATTCAGAGCAGGCTTCCAGACTGTTTGCGTTTATTCCGAATCTGAAATTATAATTAGTTAATTAACTTTTAATTTAATACGAAAAGTTCAGAAAGCATTTTAGATATTTTTACGAAGTCTATTACCTATTGTTTGACTTTCATATATGCGGCCACCGTGGCCGAGGAGTTAGAGATACATATTTACTAACCGTTTGTAGGACTAGTTGAGTAGGTTACAAAACTGCATACCCAAAAGGTTTCTAAAAATTCTGCATTTTCGTGAACTTTGCGTAAAGTTTTATGGCCTTATTCATAAAAAATAAAAAAAAGTGTATAAACTGAAAAATGTTATTTGGTTTATGTTATGCAACAGACTACACTAAATAAAACATATAAGCAAAGAAAATTGGGTTGCCAATGGAAGAAAAACTTTTAAAAAGTGTGTTTTTTTAAACAGTTTTCGATACTACGAATACTTTGCAGAGTATCAAGTAAAATCACTAAATAAGTTATCGAGTATTAAAGTACTAATTTTCATACCCTTAGTATCGATGCTTACTCAATATCGATAGTATCGTTCGAACCCTAGTTAAAACATCTAAAATTTTGATTAAAAATAGTTTGTATTTCTTGCATTTTCCCGAGTTCTGTTAAACTAAAAAAAAATAAAATAAAATTTTGAGATGGAAAACATAAATAAATAAAATCGTCAAAACGTCGGGGTATTCATATTACAGACGCTGACTGAATTTTGTTATAGTTATGATACTAACTAACGGAATTCGGCACGATTTGATTGCAGCCGAACATTCCCCAAATTGTTAAAAGAAACTAAGAGGTGCACCCTAATGCTTATATGAAGCACTTACCAACGACCAAAACCATACCAATAATGTGTTATACATGTCTCCAGTTCCGTTCTATGTTTTTCCACAGTTATTAGAGACACAAACCAGGCATGCTATAAAGGAAGCTGGCGCGTTGTCACCGCAAAATCGCATGCAATAAATGTTTAACTTAAAATAACTCCCATCAAAGTATGCAAAAAGCATGCAATAAAAATTGGCATAGAAGCGAGAAAACAAATTTTTCATGAAGTGCACTACATATGTATGAATAAATAGGTACCAATACCATAGGTAATCGTTCGATTTGAAGTGGCAGATCTAAGGTCCAAAGATGCATAAGTAGAATTTTCTATATTTTTGTGGTTTTTGCTAACAAATCGATTTTAAATAAATTTAATTATTTACTCAAGTCGAAAATCTTTTCATTATATAAAAGTATTTTCAATTGAACTTTTAGCTGTTACTTCCAATGTGGATTTGATTAACTTTTTTTAACGAAAGCTAATAAAATTTAATAGACCTGTTCGTCGCGATTTTTTATTTTTATTTGTACATATATATAAAATTTTTTAATGCAAAGTGAAGAGAAAGCAATAATTCCGAAGAAAATCTATTCTCCTGTTCTTGTTTATAATTTTTACATATTAAAAACTAATAAAATTGCAAAAGTGAAAGTTTAAATAAAAAAAAATGCATCAACTTTTCAAATCTTTCTTTCAGAATTTTTAGTAAATTGTGCATTACAATTCGCGTTGATTTTTAAAAATTTTTCTAAAACATCAAAAACCCTTTCGACTTTTGGTGAACATTTTTTTATAGCATTTATAATTTTTCTTGTGTAATTTTCTTGCATTTTGAGGTAATCCAATAATTCTTTTCAGCTATTATGTTATAATTATAAACAGGAACTGGGGAATCGATTTTCTGGAAAATTGCTATTTTCTATGCACTTTGCACTAAAAAACTGAATATAAAAAAATTTTAAATAAAAATCGATCTCTGCGGGTATCTTCTAAATTGTATTAATTATCTTTCATTTAAAAAAATATCTTTCATTTAAAAAAATATCTAATCGGTTGAAAAATTGTATCGAACTTCCAACAAAATTTTTACAGTGCCAGACATTCTTTCCACTGAAACATTTGGAAAAATCCGGAGCCATAGAATTTCATTCAAGCCAACATAAATTTAAATTTTCATTTATCCTGCCCCCCTCAGCGCGTATTAAAAAATCATCAAAACTTAGCTCATAATACATTTTTATGTGTAACTAGTGCAAACAACGTTCATTTCAACTGCAACTTTTTATAAAAGTCATTCCCCTCGGGCTTATGACCGCCGAGTGCTTTGGCTTCGCAGGATCACATGACACTGATTCGCATTACAATGATGCGAAGAAGAGGGAGAGTGAAACAAAAGAAAAAAGCAAAAAGTTGGCGAAAAAGATTGTTTGCGTGCTCATTATAATAATTTCGGGTGGAACAACAAATTTGTTATGCAACTGAAAAAATAAAAATAAAAAATATGTACGCGTAATCTATGCGTTGCAATCAGCTATGGCCTGGTGGCACAAACCAAGAAGCATTTTGAATAAATGCTGCTGTGGCAGTAGCAACGATTGTGTGCACAGCATACAGGAGCCAACCAACAACCAACAACCGGCAACCGGCGGCAACTAGCAGCAGGACTCCTGCACGGCTGCATCAGCAAGGCGGCCAGTGCAAGCGGCGCGCCGCGCCGCGTCTGTTGCCATGCCGCCGCCACGCAAAAGTGAACAGGCGGCGAAGGCGCTACTACCAAGCAGACATCCTTTTAGCCACGTTTTCACAACTCGCTCGCTTGATTCAATTTTTTCAATTGTATTTTCGGTTTCGTTTTTTTTTTGTTTCCTCTGCTTTTCGATTTACTTGGTTGCCGCAAAGCCGGGCGCATGCATAAGAAATATGAGCGTGCATATGCCGCGTCGTGTAGTACGAGTTGAATGGGCTCGGACGACAGAAACATGCATTTGTGCTACGACTACCAAGCGTAGTATGGCAATAAGTGAGCATGCATGTGTGTCGCACGTATGGACATTTATTCATATGTAGCATGCAACTGCTGCCAGCACAGCAGAAAAGTGCAAGCAACAACAGCAACAACGTGGAGAAGCAGGAGAGACGGGGAAGCCAACAAAGTGCAAAAATGAGATAAAATAAAATAAATTGTAAAGTAAGTGAGGTAATAAGAAAACGATCAGCATCAGTTGCTGCGTATCGCCCATTTTTCTGCCGTTTTACCACACAGCACACACTTGCCACAGCCATGCATACTGTCATTTACTTAGTTATCACTACGTATGAATACATGCATGTACCTACGAGTAAGTACGTACGCAAAGAAGCCTCAAAGGTAGTACATAGTTGATATCTGTGCGATGATACAGCTGCAGTCAAAAAAATAGCAGGGTTATTTTGAATTCGTTTGCTCGGAAAATTTTAGGTGAACATTTTTTAAAAAAAGGTTAAAATTACGGTGTTTGTAGGGTTTCGAAAATACTGAAAAAATTTTTAATTTTGATGGGATTTTTTTTTTTTTTTGAGTTTGTTGAATTTTTCACAATGCTTGAATTGTTGATTGATATGATTTATGCTATTGAATTAACTGTAAGTATTTTTATAAAAATATAATTAAATTTCAAAGAAATCTATTAAACTGGAAATTATAAATATTGGGGTACCGTTCGTAATGATTTGGACAGAGAATATACCTCTAAGTGCATTAACTGGGTATTTTTGAACATACAAAATTTAACTAATATAAAATTGTTTGCCATTAACCCTTTTTAAGGATCAAGGAGGACATATTACCCAAAAAGTTATGCCACTTTTTCATAAGGAAATCGTGTACAATTTTAATAGTTTTATTCATATTTCCGATTTTTATAGTGTACCTCATATTAATTTTGTATTTATTTTGGTAAAGAAATTTTTAAAATAAATATTTTTAAAAAAATTTATAAAAACAGAAGTTTTTTTTATATAATTCTAATGTTTTAGACAAAATAGATTTGAAGAATTTTTTAAGAAAAAATTGTTACGAAACAACATAATTTAGGCAAAAACTGCCTTACTGGGGGAAAATATGTTTACCCAATTAAAAAAAAAAAACAAGTAAGAAAGTCTAAGTTCGGGCGGAGCCGAACATT